GGCTTTCATCTCCCGATATCGGAACAACCTCCACCCTGCAAGTTTGTGGGCGTCGCGTTTTTCTGGAGCGGGGAGCGGGAATCCTTCATTTTAACTGGCGAGCGGACGCAACGTCGGCGCAAGTCACAACACGCTCCGCACGAACCGAAACGCTAGGCTAGTACATAGTGTACACAAACACACACAACACACACCACACAAATCGCGGCGACCCCTAAATAAAAACGAAATTGAAAAGAAAGGTTTCGCCTAAGTTTTGTTCGTGTCGTGACACAGGGGGCCTGCTTGTATTAGGAACTCCGGCGCGTAATGCCCCCGCCACACCGCCAAAAGCGCGGTAGGGGAGGGGCGGCCATCAAAAAATAGAATCGGGCTGCGTCATCAAACGCGTGCCCCTCTGGCCGGCGGCGGCGAGGGTAGCGAAGCCGTGGCGCGGGGGGTTGGAAGTGGGATGCGGTGTTGAGCGGCCCGCGATCTTTATTAGCGTCCAGGGTGCCGCGGGTAAAAACGACGATGACTGCACTATTTTCGCTGGGCACCTGGGCGAGTGCATTGTCAAAGGGTTATGTGGTGGAGTGGAAAAAAGGGGGTTCGTGCCCCGAGTGCTGAGAGAGGCCGAAACGCAGGTTGGATGCGAGTCCGCCGCGTTGGGAATGTCAACAAAGACATTAGACGTTATTGCTCAGCGTCTGCGGAGGCAGAACTGTGTGCCCTGATAGAAAGTCCGTGGGGCTAAAGCTCTGATGGCCCGGTCGCCTGCAAGATGTCCCATACAATAAGTCGATTTGCCTTTTCCTCATCTCGCGGCTGCGTTGGAATTGTGCGTTACCCGGGGGTACAAACTGACTTTGTTTCTAACTTTATATAAACAAAAACAGTATTAAGTAAACGTCAAACTGTATTATATACGTTAAGGGAAGCTATGGTTGTATTCCTGTATTTGTTTCAGGAAGGTATACGAAGAACACCGAATATTAAAATTTTCTCGAAGTAATTGACGTGGTCCGAATTCTCTCTCAAAATAAGCGATGCTGATGGTTTGATACTGATTCTGTCATTAGGAGACGGAAGGTCTATTCAGAGGTGATGCCCCCTTTGTGGTCTCCTCCACTGTGTGCATATGTGGTAGTGATAATGACAGGCGAATGATAAACGATAAATATAAGTTTAATTATTGTATGAATTATTGATGTAGATCATTTTGAATTAGCTCGACTAGGCAATTAATCCACCACAGAAAGGGCAACTAATGAAAATAAATTGTTGTCGGCTTTAAATAATTTGTATATTCAATTACTAGCATACAGTGCGCCAACAAAGTCCTCCACATGGCACCTTTCTGTTGAGAGTATATAGAGAAATTAGATTGAGTATAACGAGCTGTAGCTTGTACAAAAGAAAACTGTTAATTGGCGTTCTCACTACAATCTACAAGATGCTCTAGTGTTTCTCCTATTCATTCCAGGTGATGTATACTGCGAACATACTCAATTGTATTCATCACCCTCAATTTGCTTGAGTGAGGAGAGCTTTCTAACGCACTCACTATACTAACGAAAAATTCATTGTTCGATCAATAACAACCAATCAATACACTTAAAAAACGATATAAATTGAACTTTTAAGTTACAAAATTCGGATGTTAATGTTAAGTAACAAATAGTATATTAGTAGTAGTAAGACTATGACATTAAACGGTGTTTTCGGAAGTTTAGAAAATGAGATATATGTTCACACAATAATGACATTCGAAAGTGAAACCATTCTTTCTTGCACATACACTTCTCAAATAGAAGAGACAATTCAATTAACCATCAGTTAATTGTTGAAGCAGAAGAACATAATCGTGAATTTCGACCGACCTTTTCGAGTTACAATTCGAAACGTGCCTTGAATGCGAAGTGTCCATGGAGATTCCTGCTTGTTCAGAATCAGCCTCTCGATTTATTTATTTTGCCCGCAGCCTGAACTTATTGATGCTACATGTTATTTTAATAAGTAGGCAATATTAATAAAGACAGACAGAAATGGTTTTGAATGGTTCTTTAATTTCGCTGTTGCATGTTCACACAAAGTGTTTAAGGAATATTCTAATCACAAGAAATTCAAGCTTGGAAGTCGTATTCCTTGACACATCTAGGAGGTACATAGATTTTAACAATTGGCGGAACATATATTATTCAAAGATAACTATTAGAGTTGTCAGAATTCGGCAGAGTAGTTAAGAAATAGAGGCTCGTGCTAGATTTCGGCAATTTACTCTTTCCATTACGCGGCACCGGTGCTGATCCCGCGCAGGATTTGTAGGTGGTTTTCTTCAATTCCCAGTGTATGTTTGCTATGTGACGTTAGAAATTCACTTCTTCAAGTTGAAAGACGGAATACGGCCTGGATGCTCTAGTGCTAACCACACGAGACCCCCTAACCATGATGCCGAGGCAGGGAGTCTGGTAGACTGAGCCCTTCACGGATGTCCGCGCAAGTAGCACGTACATCTTTAAGCAATATTATCCTTCGGTATACGTAATACAGCGAAAAGAAAAACCCAAGAGATGGCAAGTTGTGCGGCGGGCAGTACACAATTGGAGGAGCGGCTACAAGCTGCAGAAGTGCGGGCGAGCGGGCGGGCACTGGGAGCAGGAAGAACAAATCGTGGTAGGCGGGGAGCGAACGACAGCTAATGAGGATAGAGCGTAAGCGAGCGCTGCCCGCTGGTCCAGGAAGTGATGGACGAGCCGCGCTCGACAGCCTGTCAGCGCCGGCTCCCCCGGACCGTCACGCGCGATTATTCCAGCGGGCGAACGACGCTCGCCATTTCAGTCCGCGAGGCCAACTCGTTGCGAAGTATACGTAAGGGTGTTATTTGCTATATGGACTGTTTTACTCAACCTTGTAGATACGCCGGAATGGTCCTGTCCATTAAAGCCAGAGGTAATGTACAGCTGTCCCCAATGTATTTGTAACTGTAGTTTAAAATTATAATGTTAATCTTCTGTAGTACGTTTTATTTTATTACCAAAAAAGTGTCCATAAGCAAAGAAAAAGTTAAGGAAATGGGAGCCAGGGACTTAGAAATAAAGTTGCTCCCATCTTGTATCATGGTTGCTTCCACGAGTATGTGTACTGTTTAAGAACATACAAATATTTATTCATTAATCGATAATTGAATAGAGCATAATTATTCTTTATAGTATAACCCGTTGAAAACACGCTTCAACTTCGAAGCCACAAATGGCACCCCCAAACCGTCATCACGTCGATGCACTAACGGTGGCCTTTACGCCCAATCCATCAATAACCTGCGTAGATTGATAAGAGAAGTAGCGGTTAAACCAAACAACTTAATGGACGCTCTGCATCATATTTACGTTAGAAGAGTCTTACAGGATAACACAGCAGCTTCTTTAATCTGAATAAGAGTAGTTAGGGACTTCGATAAATCAGCTCGTTTCCTACACGTCGACGTCACTCATTTACGGCAAATATGACGTAACTGATCTCGATATTCTCGAAAGCTTTAATTCTTTCGGAAAGATGCCCGCTACACATTAAAGTGAAGAGTGATCAATTAAGCGTAAACGTGCTTGCATTGGTCTTTGAAAGTCAATTATTAACTAATGCACGTTCTGTTTCCGAACATGGCTTTGAGCGTAAATTAATGAGTATTTAAGATCGAGTAGTTTCCTTAAATTTGGGACCTCCAACCTCTGAGAACTGTTGACATACGCAAATTATTCAAGCATAAATTTTAAAATACTTAATTCTTTCAAATCGTAATCTTTTTTACAGAAGTGCAATATTTCGCAGTACATTACCAGATTTTGCTTGAAGCTAAATATTATTATGGATTAAGGTACAACTTCACCCGTAACACTTCTTTCAAGGTTCGAAGGAGTATACGCATTCGGCTTCAATTTAGTTCGCGGGTGCCAAAGTCGTGGGAGAAATCCTCGTGAGCTCCATGTCCTCCTATGCGAACAAAGAATCTGGCTGAGCGCATACCAAAATCAATTACAAGACGATTCTCTTTTATCAAATCCACTTTTCGCTCAGTGAGACAAAGCAAGTAGTGAAAAAATAGGACACACCTATTGTGTTAACCTTGACGGCCAAAGTGTAAGTCAAGAAGAATATTTTGTACCGTGGTCGCCTATTGATACAAATTGAAAAACGGCCCAACAACAACGCAACTCCAGGATTGGCATAGGACAAGTTTCCAACCGAGCTTCATTGATTCATTGTGTTTTTCGGAGTTGCTAACTGCTGATGTTAGCCAAAAGTTCAACGCATGACTTTTCTCGCGGGAAGTAGCATTATCTTCTTCCGTTGGACAGTAATCTGACGCCTGACCACATTATATGCTTGCAAGGATTTCCCAACTAGTAATGCCCCACAGCAGACACCCGCCCACCGGGACAAGCTCTGAAGTGTGGTAGATTGTGTAGTGCATGCAAACTGTAAGTGTGTAAGGAAGTTGCTTGTCAAGTCCAATTCTGGACGTGCCATGCTGTGTTGGGCCATTTTCATTTTGTTGAAGAAGAAAAAGAAAAGTTTTAAATTATACAATTACTAATATTGTTAACTTTTATGTAGTTGCGTAACTTTATGTGTATTGTTTTATTTATTTATTAATGTAATTATTATATTATTTATTATTAGTATTATTATTTATAGGTAGTAGCCTTAAAATACATCTTGAAATGTTAAATTATCTGCTACAAAAATAATTATCTACTGCATAATATCCTAATTATCTGTAACAAGAACTGTAGTATAATTTCTAGGCCAATGACCCCATCTCGATCAGGTTTTGTTCAGTTTACCTGGTACCTTGAGCAATTGCTGAGATGGTCCCTTGTTTGCTCCTGAACAGTAATGTAACTTCACTCTCTCCACCCAAGACATCATATTGACTCGTCATACACGATTGTAATTGTATATGTGACTCAATAAATATTATTATTATTATTATTATTATTATTATTATTATTATTATTAAGGGGGCAAGAATAAGACAAGGTAGAGGAAGGAAAGGTCTCGCGCTGTCCCTGGCTCGTTTGATAGGATACTGCTTCGGCATTCGCCTGGTGTTGATCGGAGAAATCACGATAAACTACCGACCAGAGCAGCCGGCCGCAAGAATTCTCCTCCAGACAGCGTCTGAATTCACCCTAGTTGACAAGCTACTGTCGAAAATCCTGCCACAGCCTGGACCCGAACCCTACAACCTTCCGATCAGAGCCACTTTTCAAGCATCATTAGACAACATATACACTAACGATTAATGTTTATTTTGTCACAAAGAGTGACAGTACAGCCGCTCTGACTTTAGAAAAATCTCTAACGAAAAAGGCCACCTTCGGAAAATAGCGTATAAAGCCCAAAAGTGCAAAATCAAAACATGTGAAATTTAGATTAAGGAAAGACCAAAAATAACGAATTGAACATGAGAAAGAAAAGTCTCTACTGGCTACTAACAGATCTATTCTGAAAATGAAACTCGATTAAGAGTAATGGGATTCTACCCATTATGTTCACGGAAACTAGTAATAGACACAAAACCAATGTAAATAATTGAGAGAAATTGACCAAGGAGAATGATCTCTATGAAGTAATTTTGTATTTATAAAAATTCCCTGAATGTTTAAATGTAATAACATATTATGAATACAATGTATAACAACAAAATAAAATAAAATTAATGGACATTGTTTCCATACTTTCAAAGCATACTTTTCATTACTAGATTCAAGAGTAAAGTACTTGCAATTGTGGCGACGAGAATGCACACCCAGAACTGACTGCCAGAAGCTAGTGTACATGTTTTGTACACGTCTCAGCAGCGCGACAGGACGACTAGCAAAGATGTTTGCGACGTCCATCACTTCCTTGCAGCCCATGGACTGGAGTCTGTGGCGAAGCTTACAAGATAAGTAGCGCGGTGCATGCAAACAGCAACTCGACACGAGACACTGCAGTTCAGTTGACTTCGCGGGCCTACTTCTCAGTCACCGTTCGCCGATCGCGTGCGAGACACTGATCGCTCTTCGCTGATCAAGTGTCAAGAACACTAAAGTTATCCGTCAACCGAAGTGTCTCGCTGAACTCTCTTCAATGGACAGTAAACCAGTTCTCTGAGTTATTTTCTACACAAGAAAGCATTCAACGCACTTCTCAGCAGGACTAAGAAAAATACATACTGAGTTCACCGGCCAAAGCGCTAATGTGAAAGTGTTAGAAAGAAATCAAATGAATAGAACATAAAACGAACGAAAAGTTAACCTCTCTGGTCATTAAAGGTAATGGATTAAAATACGACAAAGAAACAAAGAGTAACTTAATAGTATTTTTTTCTCTTAATACGCCAAAAAATTAAAATGCTATTAATTTCTATGAACTACAAGAACTATTCACGAACCAAGATGTAAGATTGATTGTATTAATTCCTAAATCCTTACTGGTTGGGAGGAGAATGGATTTGAAGTAATCCAACACAAGCGAAATGGTAATTAAAACTATAATCGCAAAATATTTGTTGTTACAAATGTATCGAATTTTCAGCTCAAATCACAGGTGTAAATTGTTACTTAACTCAATGTTGGCAGTGAAAAATACGGCCGCAACAAACAATCCTATACTTCTTCAAAATCTTGTAATGGCTAATAATGAAACATTAGGATCCTTAACAATAATAATCCATTTATTAATAACCTGCCTAAGTATTTAACGTATAAACATTTACATGATCTTATGCCTTCCATTATATTATCTGTTGAACATAAATGTTCTCTCAAAATTAATGTGAATACGATGTCAGAAGTCTTATTCAGAAACCAACATAAACATATCCACCTACTAAAATACAGTTTTCCAAATAGACTTAATATTCATATATCGTGCTTCCGACACATAGCAAATGGAAAGTCTTGTTATTTAAAGAATTAAAATTTCAGAGCAAAGTTAAATCATTTGTTTCTAGTTTTCATTCTAGTTATTAATGTTCGTCTAATTTATGGCAAGTTGTGCCTCTTTATTGTTGTCTGAAATTTCCCTTAATTAGTTTCTTCAGGTAATCATATACAGCAGGAACGACATATCAGAGAAGTTCAGACAACTTGACCATATATCAACACCACAAGCCCCCCCCCCCCCAAATACGCATCAACGGATTTCTTTTTTTAAAATATTTAATTTAGACTAATATATCCATTTCTTTCTTCTATCCATTCAAGTGAAAAGATTCATTCACAGAATGCAGATGAAAATGGTCTGAGCGTCTTCTTTTATTTTAGTCGCTAGACTGAGACATACATGCGGACAAAGGGTAATCATGTTTCCTATTCTAAATTTAACAAAAACGATACAACGTAGCAGATTTTAGTCATGTGTGAAAATAAATGACAACAAATATTACAAATTTACAAAAAGGACATTAAAATACAAAGGAGATCGAGAGGACAATTGACGTTAATGAAGGACTGTCCTCCCCAAAAGGACGGTTGGCATCCTTACTTATTGGTGTCATTTGATATCACGTTCAAGAAAAATTGTAGCTGACCCGCGTATTAAAAAGCCTCAAGGGTGTTGCTTATCTCGAAAGGGAGAATGGAGAAGGGAAAATGGAAAAGGGAATGTGACCCTCCAAACTCGTCTGCTCTCTGCCCACCCGCCTCCGTCAACGAATTGGTGAATTGGTGGGCGGGTGCGAGAACAATTGCGATTCTGCAATAGATAACAGATGCTACACACTTTTATTTCTATGCTGGTCTTCGTGCACAAAGAGCATCATCTGTCACGGGTACTGTATGCATGACATGTGTTGAAATACGGTGGGAAAGTAGCCCGACATCAACCGATGAAATTTGCGAAAGGGTGTGTTGTGAAAGCATGCTTGTGGCTGTGGAGGAAATGGATGATTGTGGATGGGTGTAGAGGGAATGGATGATTGTGGAAGGGTGTGAAGGGAATGGATGATTGTGGAAGGGTGTGAAGGGAATGGATGATTGTGGAAGGGTGTGGCGTGAATGGACGATTGTGGAAGGCTGCGGAGGGAATGGATGATTGTGGAAGAGACTGTCAATCAAAATTGTTGTACACACGCAGTTTTTTCCTTCGCGGTTCAGCTTTGAATAATACATACAAACGATTTGCAAATATTAAATAATCGTTCATTGTGTGTCTGAAGTGATCTTGGTTCACGACATCATTCGGCAGAGAAAGTTAGCCTACTAAGGGAGAAGAGATGGCGACACATTAGACTTCGACATTCAATCGGCTTCGTAGTCATGAATGCATTCCAAGCCATGTATGAACTTTGGTTTTGATCTTTGAATTTATGATATGCGTGGAAATATAATAACATTTCGCAGTTGCCTTACGCATTTCCAACTGTTAATTATCAGAGCATGTCTGGAGCTGAGACCATACAAATATTCACACCAAAAGGGATTTGTTTAAATGTGATAGATTCTCACTTTATTCTCCATTTCCACTTCGTCAAACGTATGTGTGCCCGGCAGAGGCTGTAATATCGAGGAGTTCCTTGACCGTCATGACTCTACAAAAGATACTTGACATGAAAATGAATACATTTTGTGAAAATAAAGAAAAGTTAATATGGTTATTTCGACTAATACGATTTATAGAATTCTCGTGCTTACGAAACCAACGGCTTTTGTAAGTCAAACGTAGTAGTATTTACATAAACTATCCAATACCATCCGATCTATACCACGTTCTGCTTCTGCACTTTCGCACTTCCCACCCGTTTCGTGTCCAGAATTATGTCGTTCCTCTTACGTCCACATTTACAGACGTATAATAATAATAATAATAATAATAATAATAATAATAATAATAATAATAATAATAATAATAAT